GCACAACCGCGGCATGGCACATCGCAATGCAGCACGGCGCAGCACAGCACAGCCCTCGGCACGGTACATCAAGATCGATACATTCAGCATTGCAGCTTGGCAGGTTCCTTGGCACGTTCCGTGGCGCGTCCCGTTGCGAGTCCCCCTGGCACGTCGCGCGGCGCGTCCCTTGGCACGTCCCGTGGCACGTCCATTGGCACGTTCCGTAGCGCGTCCCCTCGGCATGTCCCGCGGTGCGTCCGCATGGTATGTCTTTTGGCACGTCTCCTGGCGCGTCCCTTGGGACGCTTTGCCGCTCGTCCGGCCTCGTGGCATGTTCCTCCGTCAATCTCGCACTGGGGCAGCTACTATGTGCTAAGGCAGCTCGAGCTTAAGATCCAGATCAGTTCGATCAAGACTCGGATGCAAAGGAGGACTCGATCCATTCCGCTATAGAGCACAATCGCGGCATGGCACATCGCAATGCAGCACGGCGCAGCACAGCACAGCCTTCGGCACGGTACATCAAGATCGATACATTCAGCATTGCAGCTTGGCAGATTCGTTGGCACATTCCGTGGCGCGTCCCGTTGCGAGTCCCCCTGGCACGTCGCGCGGCGCGTCCCCTGGCACGTCCCGTGGCACGTCCATTGGCACGTTCCGTAGCGCGTCCCCTCGGCACGTCCCGCGGTGCGTCCGCATGGCACGTCTCTTGGCACGTCTCTTGGCGCGTCTCCTGGCGCGTCCCTTGGGACGCTTCGCCGCGCGTCCGTCCTCGTGGCATGTTCCTCCGTCAAGTAGCTCTGGGGCAGCTACTATGTGCTAAGGCAGCTCGAGCTTAAGATCCAGATCAGTTCGATGAGGACTCGGATGCAAAGGAGAACTCGATCCACAACGCTGTATAGAGCACCATCGCGGCACGGTTCATCGCAATTCAGCACGGCGCAGCACAGCACATCCCTCGGCTTGGTACATCTAGATCGATACATTCAGCATTGCAATTGCCCGTCGCCCAGTCAGGTGTTTTGAAAGCGCTGGCATGCTTTACATTTCTGTAATCCTTTCCGGGTTCGTGAGTCGATCTTGTTTTTGTTATTCAGAAGAAGAAAACCCACCCCCATCCCCAGTCCCGATTCCCATCCCCGAGCTGGCGATTCAAGGGATCGGGACTGGGGGTGGGGGTGGGTTTTCTCAATCTTTGGGCCCCGAAAACCCACCCCCACCCCCAGACCCGACCCCCTTGATCGCGGGTTCGGGGATGGGGTCCGGACTGGGGGTGGGGGTGGGTTGTCGCCTTTTCAGCTGCTCGAACACTTTCGGGCTCTGGGAACATTTGGTTGCAGGCCCATAGGAGAGCCGGGACGGTCGCTCCCGGCTCAAGTGCTCGAAGGGGGCAGCTGTGCGCTGGTTGACAAATCTGGCGACCTCAGATCGGCCGACGGGCCGCGGATCTCTGGATGGCAGGAGGCCCGCGGGCGAGGGTGGGCGCCGCAGTCGCGGGGGTGCACGGTTCAAGGAAGCAGACAAGTGCAGGTCAGGTGGTCACAGAAGTACAGCGACCGCAGGATGCGCGCGCACGCGTGGCACGGGCTCCGCGCCGCAGATGGGCGGCGACGACGGGGGAAAGATTGGGTGGACCGAGGCTCTTACCAAAGCAGGCGTTTCCGCAGTGCTGCAGTGGCATCCGTCGCAGAGTCCATCCATGCCTGATGTTGCAGGTCATGTCAATCCAGGATGGCGCGGTGTAGCTGGTCCAGTCGCGTTGGGAATTGACCCGCCAGGTCAAGGTCTTTGCGGCCGCTTTGAATGAATGCCGAGCAGAACCGGGAAGCCGCAGCTTCGGCTAAAGTGTGGAGCAAGATTGCGTGAGTGAGCGACGCGGCGAAGCCTCCCTGAAGTCGAGAGTGAAGACGCGGCCGTAAGCCGCACTCTGCAGGCAAGTGCGCGTTGTCCAAATAAAATCCTCGACCGCGGCAGTTGGCTTCTTCTGGAGGTACAGAAGGGGGGAGGGGGGCACCCATCGAGACCAAATGGGACGAGCGGATTCCCGCGAAGTGCCAACAAATTCGGGCTCTCAGATCGGCGGGCTGGTCGCAGGCCATCACCAGCGACGCGGCAGCTGGCAGCAGCGCGGCAGCTGGCAGCAGCGCGGCTTTGTCGCACTTTGCGCGCTCGGAAATAGCGCGAGTTCTGGGCGGGCACGGAGCTCTCATGGCCCCCCAGTTCTGGCCGCAGTTGCGGGCCGAAGGCCGTCGCGGCGGGCGTGGGCAGCAGGTCGGCAGGCACCGCCGCGAGCTCGGCCTTGCTGCGCGGGCAGCTGCTGCGGTGAATCCAGCGCCGCCGCGGTTGCGGCTGGCGGCGTCGGTGCCTCTGCCTCGGGTGCTGTGCGATTCTGTGCGCCTCGGCCTGCGTCTCTGCGCGCTCTCGCGCGCCTCGTGCGCCCGGCCGACTACTGCCTGCTTCTGCGCTCTGTTGTGCGCTCGTGCGCGTGTCTGCGGGGCTCGGCGCGCCTGCGTGTGTCCGCGCGCCTCTGCGCGCTTATGCGTGCGTGTCCGCGGACCCGCCAACGTTTGCTCGCTCCTGCGCACCTCTGCGCGCCCGTTGCGCTCCTGCGTGAGCTCCTGCGTGCCGTGCGCCGCAGCGCGCCACTGTGCGGCTGAGCGCGTCCCTGCGCGCCAATGCGCGCTTCTGCGCGCCTGCGCGTGCTCCTGCGCGCCTCTGCGCGCTCGCGCGCACCTGCGCGCGTTTCTGCGCGCCTGCGCGCGTTGCCGCGCGTCTGCGCGCTTGTGCATGCTTCTGCGCGCTTCTGCGCGAATGTGCGCGCCTCTGCCTGAGCTTCTGCGCGCCCGTGCGCGTCGGCACCGCCGCGCGCTTCTGTCCGCCCCCGCGAGCTTTTTGAGCCCGCGCGCCTCCACGCGCGCGCGCGCCTGAGCGCGTCCTGCGCGCTTGCGCGTGCTTCTGCGCGCGCCAGCGCGCGGCTCCCCGAGCTGCTGCGCGCCTCGGTCTGCGCGCCTCGGTCTGCGCGCCTCTGCGCTTCCGAGCGCGTCTCTATGCGCACCCCTGCGCGCGCGCGCCTGTGCGCGTCAGCGCGTTCCCACATGCGTGCGTGCGCGCCCGCGCGCGCACTTCCAGCGCGTGCAATTGCGCGCTCGTGCCCTTGTAGCTCGTTCGCGCGCCTGCGGGTGCCTGCGCCCCGCGCTTCGGCGTGCTCCTGCGCGCCTGAGCGCGCGTCTGGCGCCCGCGCGCCTCTGCGCGTTCCGATTGCGCCTTCTGCTGAACCTGCCCGCGCCGACCTGCACGGGGGTCGCGCCGCCGCACCCGGATTTGCGATTTCGAGCGCCAGTTGCGATCCAGGGCGCGCCTGCGCCCAGCGCAACATCCGAGCTCGTCTGCACCGCAGGACGTGAAACTGCGCCCCGATGGCGATTCCCGGCGAACATGCGCCCGAAAGCGACACGTTCGCGCGTCAACTGCCATTCTCGGCGCGCCTGCGCCTGAAAGTGCCACAATGCATTCCGATTGCAACCCCGGGCGCCTGGGCCGGACGCGCGAAATCCGTGCGCCATTTGCAAATCTGCGCGCGCGTGTCCCGGAACCGCCAGCCGGTTGCAACGGCGGGCGCGGCCGCTACAGAATGCGCGGAACCGCGCCCCGATCGCGATTCCGTGAGCGCCTGCGCCCGAAAGTACCATCGCGCACTGCGTGCGAGTCTGGGCGCTCTTGCGCTTGAAAGCGCCAGTTGTAATAATGCTGGGCGCGCGCGCCCAAAAACCGCGCGCCGCCTACAACCGCCAACGCGCTGCGACAGAATGCGGGGAACAAGCACCGGTTGAGATACTGCGCGCATGTGCGCTGCAAAGCGCGGAATCGCCCCCGCATGCGATCCCTCGGCGCGCCTGGGCGCGTCTGCGCCGAGAGCGGGCAATCACGTTCCGACTGCGATTCAGGGCGCGTCTGCGCCAGAAGGCGCACATTTTCCTTTTGCGGCCCCATTGCAATCCTGAGCGCGCCCGCGCCCGAAAGCGCGCGATCGGGCTCCGAATGCGACTCTGGGTGCGCCTGTGCCAGAGCCCGTGCGCGCTGATCGCATGTCTGGGCGCGCCTGCGCCGCAATGCGCGGAACCGCGCTCCGACTGCGATTCTGGCGTTCACAGCCGCCCTTGCGGCGGACAAGGGCCTTGCGCCCATGGCGCGCGCTCGCGCCCAGACTGCCCCTATGGGCCTGCGAGCGGCGTCTCCGGGCGCGCAGGCGCGACCTTGTGACCTCGGTCGCACCGCCGCCAGCTTTGCCGTCCTGCAGGGGGCTCGGCGCCGCGCGCTCCGTGGCGGAGAGCCTCCTCCGTCCTGCGGGGCTCTGCCTGCGGCGACGTTGGCCTCGCTGCAGGGGGCCTCTGCCGTTCCGCGGGAGCTCGTCGCGGGGCCCTTCGCCCCGTTGCTGCGACGTGTTGCGAAGACTGGAGCGCGCGCAGCAAGTTAGCAAGGAGGCATTCTCCGCCGTCCAGCCATCTACCAACCAGCCAGCAAGGAGGGGGAAGCCGGAGGCGAGCGGGAACTGAGGCCGCTCCGGCGCGTGAGTCGTCGCCCTTTATTGGAGGCGCCCAGGCAAAGAACTGCGCTTGCAGCCCACGGCGCCCGACGGCATTCCTTCAAAGCTGCCACACAGGCTAAGAGGCCAGCAGGCGAAGAGGCACCCATTTGACACCGGTTTCCTTGGGAGATATTTTCCTGCCCCCCAAACCGCTGCGCGATTCAGGGGCGATGAAAAACGGTGCGCGGAGGGGGGCCGGACATCTTCTGGACGTCATCAGGAACGAGAAGAAATCAGTATTCATATTGTGTAACTCTGGGCCGGGAGGGGGGAGCCCGGGAAAGGAGGAGAGGGTGGAGGACCAGGAGAGCGGAGGACGAGGGGGACGACGACGAGGACGACGAGGGAAGAGCGTAGAGAAAAGGAAGAGCGGACGGGTTCTGGACGGGGGGGGGCACCTTGCGGGCGCCGCGCGGAGCACAGCGTGCGCCAGGAACGGCTGGTGGTACGCGGACATTTATTGGACCCCGGAGATGAAGAACAAGAAGGCGCTCAGACTCTAGGTCTCCTAGATGGGGTCGGAATACATGGGTCGGAGGATCGCAGATGCATCGGCGATGCGGTTCGATGTGGACCCCGATGTTCTCCGCGCCAGCGTCGGCGATGCATCGGCATCGCCGACGTCGCCGATGTATCGGCGATGCGGCGCGATCCTTCGGTCTCATCTACAGTGGAGACCCACGCCAAGAAACACCCTGCTTGCCTCCAGGGTGCCCTAGGTTTCTTGGGTTTCGATCGTTTTGCTATGGAAAGCGTGAGGTTCCTACGCCAAAAATCAGTGGGCGTCCTGGGATATCAGGGTTGGGTTTTAGTGGAAGGTGTCTTGTGGACTGGGCTCCATTGTACTCCGACCCCATTCACGAGGCCTCTGGGCAGGTGGCGGAGTCCAGCGCAAACGCAGCTCAGCCAGAGTGCCCGGTCCTGCAGGATCCTGCAAAGCCGGATTTTGGTTGGGCTGGGTTCCGGAGCCGCTCGCGGCCCGGGGGGTGTCCTCTCTCTCTCTCTCTCTCTCTCTCTCTCTCTCTCTCTCTATATATATACATATGTATATATGTGTGTAAATATGTGTATCTATACATATATATATATATACAACTCATATGTATATATTCGATATCACATTTCTATACACCTAGGTATATATCGATATATTGGTGGAGCCATATTGTAGTGGCCTCCGGCCAGTGCCACCGATCCAGGGCGCTCCAGATGATGATGATGATGATAATGATGATGATGATGATGATGATGATGATGATGATGATGATGATGATGATGATGATGATTATGATTATGATTATGATGATGATGGCGATGATGGTGATGATGCCGATGATGCCGATGATGATGATGATGCTGATGATGATGATGATGATGGTGATGATGGTGATGATGGTGATGATGATGATGATGATGATGATGATGGTGATGATGATGCTGATGCTGATGATGATGATGATGATGATGATGCTGATGCCGATGCTGATGATGATTATGATGATGATGATGATGATGATGATGATGATGATGATGATGATGATGATGATGGATGATGATGGATGATGATGGATGATGATGATGATGATGATGATGATGATGATGATGATGATGATGATGATGATGATGATGATGATGATGATGATGATGATGATGATGATGATGGTGATGGTGATGGTGATGGTGATGGTGATGGTGATGGTGATGGTGATGGTGATGGTGATGATCCCGGCCGCCCTCCCCAACCTCCTTCCTCTCTCCTGTCCCCCCTCCCTTTCTCCTGTCCCCCCCACCCCTCTCTCCTTTCCCCTCCCCCTCCCTCCTCTCTCCTGTCCCACCCCCCCTCTCTCCTGTCTCCCCCCCTTTCTCCCCCCCTCTCTCCTGTCCCCCCCCCCCTCTCCCTCCTGTCCCCCCGCCTCTCTCCTGTTCTCCCCCCTCTCTCTCCTGTACCCCCCCCTCTCTCCTTTTCCCCCCCCCGCCTGTCTCCTGTCCCCCTCCCCTCTCCCCCCCCCTCTCCTGTCCCCCCCCCTCCTCTCTCCTGTCCCTCCCTCTCTCCTGTCCCCCCCCCCCCATCTCTCCTTTCCCCTCCCCTCCCCCCCTCTCTCCATTCCAGGGCGTAGTGCAGGGGGGGGGGGGAGCTGGGGGAAAGAGACGGTGCAGAGGCGGGGGGGGTGCAGGAAGGGGGGGGGGGGGGCGGAGAGGAGATTGCAGGGGAAGGGGGGGGCTGCAGGAAGAGAGGGGGGGCGCCGGAGAGGAAGGTGCAGGGGGGGAGCCATGTTTAGATGTAGGAACCCCCTGGAAACATATCAGCGCAAGCCCTGTACAACCAAGGGCCACAGTGGGGGCCCCGAGGGGACCCCCTCAGGCCTCTTGGGGCTCCTAGGGTTTTCCGCAGACCCAGCGACTTCCAGTGAATTCGGAGACGCCAGGGGTTGCCCAGCCCCGGGAGACCTCCGCAGACCCCCGGAGGAGGGAGCTGCTGAGCCCCCAGCACCAGAGCCACCCTTGCAGGCTTCGGAGTCGCAGAAGGAGAGCGACTTGGTGACTGCGCTGTACAAGGCTGGGGCATGCGGGACAGACTGGCCGAGCTGGGGTGGGACTACATCGACTGTTTCGCATACGTTGTCTCGGGGGTTCCATCGAGCGGGTGGATGCTTCCAGGAGGTGATGACGATTAAGAGGAGTAAGTTGCGCGCTGCGCGGAGCGGTGGCGGATACGTTTCACGTGTCGGTTGTTTTTTTTTCCCCAGTGGTGTCTGTCCGTCCTCCTCCCCACTTCTTCCTTGTCCTCCTCCCCTCCCCATTCTCTTCTCCTCGTCGTCCTCTACCTCCTCCGCCTCCTCCTCTTCCTCCTCCTCATCGTCCTCATCCTCCTCCTCCCTCGTCCTTCAGTTCGCGCCCGGCCTTGGTGGCCGTGGCCGTTGGCTCCTGTGGGTCCCATGTCAGAGCGGCGTTTTTCGTCACTCGGCTACGCGCTGGCCCGCCCCCCCTTCTCCAAGCCATCCCTGGGAAGAGCTCCTGGGCGGCGCGCTTGCAGACGGACATAGAGGCCCACGTCCTCATGCCGCTTGGCCCCTATCAACCAAAGAGGTGTGTGACCGAAGAACACGTGTGGCCAAAGATGTGCCCGAAGTTGTTGCGGGAACCGTAGTGCGACCGAAGTTGCAACCGAAGTTGAAAATCATATGGGTTTCGAGCCAATAGTTTCGGTCACACTCGGGCGCGGTCGGAAAAAGTAGGGCGCCAGTGTCGGTCACACTCGGGCGGATTTTCGGACACAGGTTCGGTCACTACACCCCCTGATAGAGACGAGTCTACGTGATAGGTCACGGCGATCGTCCATGCCCGGCGGTTCTCTGCGCTGGTCAGTCCAAGGTTTTTGAGCTGGCCTCCTGGGCATGATTGCGGAGGGTCTTGGAGGGATGGGAGTTCCCCGCCTGATGGGCATATTTTCCACCACCGCTACCATATGTAGGACGGGGGAGAAGGGAGGATGAGGAGGTCCTCCTCCTCTTCCTCCTCCTCGTCCTCCTCCTCCTCCTGCTCCTCCTCCCTCTCCTACCTATGGTAGTGATGGGCCCAGCTCCGCCTGGGCCATCCACGGCCTGCCGGGACTCGTCACCGCATGGGCTACGCGCACCTCCCGCGGCGGCCGTCTTGGCCCCTGGAGGGGCCGCCTGCAGCAGCGGGCGCGCCGCGCGCACCCCGGAGGGGTCGGGCCCGCGGCCTCGCGACGCGGCCCCCTCTCGTCGGTCTCGCGCATGCTCAAGCAGTGACGAAGCGTCTTCGTCTGCCTACAGGCCCACCAAAAAATTGTCTAAGAACCTTTTGTGGTCTGCACGCGATGTTCCTAGAACAGTTCTGGCTGGAACCGTCTTGTTCCGGCACATCGTTTTTTTTTTCTGTTCTCAGAGTGTTGCTTTTGTTCGTGGGACATTTCTGGGTTCTACGAACATTTCGTAATAGGCCTATGGGGATGCCCGGACGGTCGGTCCCTGCTCAACAAGCGATCCCTCTCCCCCCAGGGGTTCGCCCTGGTTCTGGAGTCGTGCCACTGGCAGGGCTCCCATCCCTGAACCCTGAAGCGCGACTGCGATGCCGCATTTCAGGGCTCGCCTCGGTTCTGGGGCTCGCAGCCTCGTCCTGATCCCCACCATCCTACCGCCCCCCCAGCTGGGGGTATGCCCCCCGGAACTCGAAGGGAGCAGCCTACCTCCCCATCCAGCTTGTGAAGTCGGCCAGCGGGGCCCAGGCCTCGCCAGTGGGGACTGGGGCTGGCGAGGCGGTGCTCATCTCGCTACGCAGGGTTGGACCTAAAAGGTGTTTTGGCCATCTCGTGGGCCGTTTCTTTTTTCGTTATGTTTTGCATTCAAGGCGAAGCGAAGACAAAACGAGGAAGAACGAAGAACAACATGAAAACGAAGCACCGTTTAGGCCCAGCCCTGTCGCTACGGGACGCGGTGTTCTACGTGTTACGTTCTTTGGCGAGTGGCAAGCCTGGAGCTGCGGAGGTCGGCGAGTCTGTTGCGGCTGCTGCTGCGTCTAGCTGCGCTGGCCCGGCGCGCACACCTCGTGCGGGGGTCGGCCGCCCTCGAGCGGTGCGCGGCGTACTCTCGGGACTCTTTGGGCGGCCGGCCTAGCACGGGGGACGCCGCCAGTGCCTCCTCCTCCTCCTCCTCCTCCTCCTCCTCCTCCTCGGCGACCTGCTTTGCCAGCTCGCGGGCTTCGGGCACCAAGGGGGGCTCCTGCACACGTCCTTCCACGGGGCTCGCATGGCAGCAGCCGAGGTCGCGGAGACCCGCCTCGCGCGGGCGCTTGCAGCACGAGAGTCGCTCCGTCGCGACGCCGACGACGACGATTCCGACCGAGACGACGCGCTCAACGGTCAGGGCATCCGCGGCCCTTGCCCAGACGCGCGGAACAGCGCGGGCGCTGGCTGTGGCGCCTGCTCAGGGGCCGATGCGGCAGCGGCAGGAGTCTGGAGCGCTGCTGCACCAGCCCTCGCTGGCCATGCAGCGGAGCCAGCGTGGACCGCGGCGACGGAGCCCTCGCTGGCTAGCGCGAACCGCGGAGGCGGAGCCATGCAGCGGAGGGCGGCGCAAGTCCGCTTAGCATCGCGTCGGGCACCGCCCTCGCCTGCCTGGATGCGGACAGCAGACCCGCGGCGCGGTTGCCGGCCTGCCCTGGCCGGCGGCCACGCCCGCGCTTCGGGGTCCCAGCGCTGGGCTCCGCGAGTTGGCACCCCGCGCGCTGCTCGGAGCGCCGTACCCGCCGAGCCCACGTCGTGACGGAAGTGGGCTTGCGGCGAGAGGACGAGAGCTTTGTAGCGTGGAGTACCGCGCTGGGCACGGAGGACGCCGAGTGGCCGCTCGAGAGCGCGTTCGACGGCGGCTCCCACGCCATCGACGGCCACGAGGTCTCGGTCGCAGCCGCCACCCTCTGGCGCCACCGCTTGGGCGGCGGCGCTTCGATGAGGCTCGGGTAGGTTGCGGAGGCCTTGCCAGCCAGGCCCGGCTCGCAGCGGGCGGAGGCGGTGGGATTCAGGGCTGGAGTGGATCTTCTGCGAGAGGTGGACCTCTGGGTTTGGCGCGCCCGGGAGGTGGGCGTTGACCGTTGCGGCGCCAGCACCGGGCGCTTCAGGCGCTCAAGCGCCCCAACAGCAGCGCAGCGGAGTGTACCGGACAGGCACACTCGAGCACCAGGACATGCGCAGTGCCCGCAAAGCGTCGTTGAGCACCACGACGGGCACCACGACGAGCGCCGTGCTTGAGCACGGCGACGGATAGCAGCAGCACGGCGCTGAACACATGATGGAGGGCAGCACCACGACTCTGAAGCGAAGACGTAATTATTGTTTTGGTTGTTCGCCCGTCACGCCGTTGAACACCTCGCACGACGCTGAGCAGCGGATCGGAGTGCGGCACTGCGCCTCTGACGCCCGCCATCGAGCAGCAGGACGGGTGTCTGCATTCCGCCAGAGGGAATCATGATGATCCGGAGCAGAGTGTTCAGCAGGATGCCAGAGCGCAGCATTACGACTCTGGCATAAACCAGCTAGCGACAGGACGGATGTTGCATCGCGTCGCCGAGCACTGCGATGCGATCCAGCACCACGGCGTTGAACAGCCTGTCGGAACGCAGCCCCACTATTCCAACGTCCATCCTCGAGCAATCGGTCGGGCACAGCATCTGCAAGCGGCGCTGAACACATTGAGAGGTGCCTCCGGCACGACGCTCAGCAGCACGGCGTCTAGCGCAGCGTGTTGGGCATCTGCGGTGCGACTTAGCATCAATGAGTGTGACAACGCGTGTGGCGGGCAGCATCGCTCTGAGTTGTGCGTGACGAGAGGCAGCATGATGTCCTGCGCCAAATGGGTGGCAGCAACACGGCTGCGACATCTTGGACTGGGACGAGCAGTGGCGTGAGATGCGAGGCTTTGAACAGTGCGACGGCGACATGTAGTACAACGCCCAGCAGCACACTGGTGAGCTGCAGCGGGACCCTGACATCCAGATGCTGGACATGAAGGTGTGGCGAGCCGCGCGGCTGAGGACGGTGCGACGGCGATCGGCCGCAGGGCTTGCTGGACCACGACGGGGAGAAGCAGTACGACTGTGGCCCGACGACGGCCGCGAGTTGCGGTGAACTGTGGCGGCTGCGCCTCCATCTTTCCTACCTCGCCCCGCCGGTCTTCCTCCCGGGCCGCCAGGGCTCTGCCTCGCCCTCCCGGGTTGTTTGTGCGGCCGTCTCGAAGGTTGTTTTCGGGGATTGTGTCTTTCGACGCCGCTGGAGGATGGCAGTCGCGCTGCAACAGAAACCTTCCTCTGTCCCCCTCGTCATCTTTCTCGTCTTCTCCCTGAGAAGCGGGCCCACGGCGGACTAAACGCCAACCACCACAACGCCGACCAACCATGGCCCATGGCGACGACTACCGCAACGACGCCGACGACGTGCCACGATGACGGACGACCGACCACGGGCAACGCCGTCGCCGATGACCGACGACAACAATTGGCGACGTCAGCGATTCTGGCGACGCTGACGACGACGAAAATAAGAGCATTAATAATCAGAATAATGAATGATTCAGATTCTAGTCAGAAGAAGAAGAAGAGTAACGAGAGGGCAACGACGGCGACGCACGACTGACGACGGACGGCAAAGTACGACGCACGACGACGATGCCGACGATAGTGTAGGAGCGGGGGCAAAGACAGAAAAGACGGGGATCAGAAGGAGGGTGACGGGTACAGTGGAAACCCATGCCAAGAAACACCCTGCTTGCCTCCAGGGTGCCCTGTGTTCCTTGCGTTTCGAGGATTTTCCTGTGGAAAGCGCGACTTCCCCCCCCACCAGAAATCAACGGACGTCCTGGGGTCTCAGGGTTGAGTTTCCTGTGGGAGGTTTCTTGTGGTCGAGCTCCCACTGTAGGCCAGCGCGGTGGAGGAACAGGCAGAGCAGGGGACGGACGGGCAGAAGATGAGGCGGCAGGAGGGGCGGGAGGAGCAGATGCCTCCTCCTGGTTGGCGATCACAGTATTGTTGGCAATTTGAGGGCACGGGTCCTCCCGCCGCGGGGCGGTGTCGTGCCTCATTGAAGAGGCATTCATTCCTGGCTTCGCCATCCAGGCCTCGGACAAAAAACGGCCAACACTCATACCACGTTCCTCGGCCAACGCCCCCCCCCCGCCCTCCAATGTTCAGAGTTGGCGGTGGGTCTGATGAGTTGCCCTTCGACCGCAGCTTTCCTCCGCGCTCTGCGCGTGCCAACTTTGAAGAACTAGGGGGGCAGGGGGAGTGTCCATTAACTGTTTCCATCTACCATCCCTCTCCCCGCCTTCGGCCGCCCTCCTGTCCTCCTCCGTTTTCCTGCACTGTGGCACAGTTCACTTCGACGGTGATCCCTTTTAGACAGCTCTTCCGCCAGTGCGGTTACTCTGCCTAGCCGCCGACGCAAAAAGTTTCCCTCTACCGACTGTCCCTGTCGGTGGCGGGGGTGCCCCAGGTCACATGCAGGAGCCGACAGGTTCAGCAGGCGGGAGAGGGGGGGGAGGACACGGAGGAGCAGGAGCGCCGGTCATCGCGAGGAGGGAGTGTGGGGACAGGGTGCGCGCCCACCCGTCGGGCAACGGGTCTGGAAGCGCCAGTGTGTCCTCCTCCTCCTCCTCCTCATCCTCCTCCTCCTCCTCCACCTCCACCTCCGCCTCCTCCTCCTCCCCCTCATCCTCATCCTCATCCTCATCCTCATCCTCCCCCTTCCCCTCCTCCTCCTCCTCCTCCTCTTCCTCCTCTTCCTCCTTCTCTTTCTCCTCCTCCTCATGATTGCTGACAGGGGATCAGGCCTAAACCTTGAGCCTTCACCCCACACCCCCCATAACCTGAGACGCCAAGCACGTGTTGCGTTGCAATTGTCTAAGACGCCTACGGTGAATTCGTCTTGAAGGCCATCTTGCGCGTCATGGAGGCCTCTTGGGCCGTGTTGGGAGTCTCTTGGGCCATCCTGGGGACATCTTGGAGGCCACTTGGGCGATCATGGGGCAAAATTAGGGGTCTCATGGGCCGTCTTTGCCCGTCATAATGTCATTTCGAAGCAAATGCAGACATCTTTCAACCACTTATGGAACATCAATGAAGTGGGCCTCTTCGGGCCTCCCCGGAGGACCATCTTGGCGGTCTTGGAGGCATCATGGGACCGTCTTTGCGGCCATATTTAAGCTATCTTGGGCTCTTCTTGGGCAATCTTGGAGGCCATCTTTGGCCGTCTTGGAGGCGATTTGGGCCACGAGAGGTTGATGTTCGGCGGCCGGTCGGGTGGCCGGCGGACTGGGCCGAAGCCCCAGGGGGAGTCATGGAGAACCAGAAGCCTCCAGAAACTCAGCACGCCAGGCATCCCTGTGGCAAAACCACGGGGAGCGGCGGATCGAAAACGCCTACGGTGAAGCACCACCGCCCCTTGCCTTTTGGAAGCGGCTAGGTGGCCGAAAGTTGTGGCTAGAGCTCGGACACGATGTCGGACTGTGTGCTCCCCCAGCCGTTGTGGAATCCCCTCGGGGAACACTTTGGAGAGGAATAAGAAGACGGGAGAGAGGAACATGGAGAGGGAGTGGGAGCAGGACCAGGAGAAGGAGGAGCAGTAGGCCTCTTGGGAACCGTTGGGTACTCTGGGGGCTTCCTGGGCGCCTCCTGGGGTCCTCTTGGAGGTCTCTTGGGTGCAATGTTCGCTCGTATTGCGCGTTTCTGGCCAGTCTGACGCCGTCAGAAGCAGTCTTTGTAGGGGCCTCTGAGGGCCGACTTGGGGCCCTCTTGGGGCGCTTCAGGGCCGTCTTGGAGGTCATCTTGGGCGTCTTCGAGGTTTCCTGAGCTGTCTTGGGGGGCTTCTTGAGCTGTCAGGGGGCCATCTTGGAGGCCTCTTGGAGGCTCGTGGGCCATCTTGGGGACTTCTTGGGCCAGAAAGCCGAAAGTGAGCAAGCGCAGCAATCGATCGAAACCCAAGGACAATCAATGATTTTGGCCTCGTCGGGCCTTCCTGGTGGTCCTCTTAGAGGCCTCCTGGGCCGTCTGGAAGCCTCTGAGGCCGTCTTGGGCCATCTTGAGGCCATATTGGTGCATCTTGGTCTTGGGCCGTCTCCGAAACATCTTGGGACCATCCTGGGCTCTCTTGAGACATCTCAGCCGTCTTGGGCGAACTTGCATGCCATCTTGACTGTCTTGGCGGCGGCGTTGTGCAGCTTTCTGGTCGTCTTGGGACGGTGGCGGGTCAGGCCGAGAACCCCTCATGAGTGCTTTAGAGAACAACCAAACAACCCCGATGTCCAGCACGCCGTGCACCCCTGTGGAACGCAAGCATGGGGCGGCAGATCTAGTTGCCTGCAGCCATCCCTCCACCGTGCCTGGGTAAAATCTCAGAGTCCTCGTGTATTTTCCGTGGGTTCTCGTCGGAGGGCTCTCGGGCGCCTCTGGGGGCAGTTTGGGGGCCTCTTGGGGCTTCCTGGGGGCCTCTTGGGGGCCTTTTTGGTACAGTTCTCATAGGTTTCCCCACTCTCGCTGGCCGTAGGCCCTGGCCTGCGCGCATCAGGCCCTCGAGATGCACGCCGGGAAGTCCGTCACGCTGTCGCAGCTGGGCTCCGACTACAAGGCCAGTCTGTGACATCCGCGCAGCGCGTGCTCTTTCGTCGCCGTCGGCGTTGCCGTGAGGTGGAGGGCGCAAGGAAAAGGAGGGAGGGGAGGGGATGGCTCCCTCCGCGGAGCGGGCGCTCTTCCTCCCAAGGTTCCTCCACAATCAGACCCCCACGCCTCGGCTGCCGTCCATCTCTCCCGAGGGGCATGAGAAGGAGTGGGCGGGGCGGATGTGAAGTTGGAGGAGGCGCCCCAAGCTTCCTAGGTCCGCCCTCACTCGTTCACTCACAAGCCATACGCCGTCCGGCGCGTGGGCAGGAACACAGTCTCAAGCAGCGACGCGAAATGGAGGGTGAAACGCTGCGCCGGCTAAGTGGATCAAGAGAAGGAGGAGGAGGAGGAGGAGGAGGAGGAGGAGGAGGAGGAGGAGGAGGAGGAGGAGGAGGAGGAGGGAGGAGGAGGAGGAGGAGGAGGAGGAGGAGGAGGGGGGTGAGGAAAACGAATGCAGATTCGCATGCAAAGGCGCCTGCCGGGCTCGCAAGCTACTCATCCTGCTCGATGGCGTGGTCGCCGTTGTTGTATTGGTCGGCGAACTCGTGCCACGCCGTCGCGTTGTTGACACAGTCCATCAGCTTGCTGTGCGAATCGAAACAGACAGATACCCTCCAGTACAGACACGAGGCCCAGTCATTGCGTGGGCGCCCCCTTCTCCTGCGCAGCTGCTGCACAACGGACAGCACTGTCCCAGACCGAAGCGTCAAATCACGAAGAAAGTAATCGCTGTCTGCTCTCCCCAGCTTTCCAAACCAAAGAAGTTGGTGCCTGAGTAGTTGGGCGCTGTACAGGGCCTGGCCAGCGACGTCGAGGACAGTCTTATTCGAAACTCTCGAAAAATAAGCTGGGGGGCACTCGCAATTCGAATGACAGACCTTGCTTGGAACCCATGCAATCGCCTTCGCTCTGACTTACTCAGCCACGCCGTGGCAAGATAATACAGGACCTTGCTTGTTATCATTGCTCGAAGTATTTGGAGTTTTTTGCGTTTGGTTTCTTCCTGATCTCTCCGCCTCGGGGCCTCAGGCGGATCGTGAACACATGGGCCCGCCTCGGGCCCAGATCCCTCAGGCCGCCTCAGAACTCCTCCTCCTCCTCCTCGCCTCTTTATCTCCTGATGAGGACGAGGAGGACGGGCGCTCCTTTTTCGGCGCCAAGGCGCCTGCGGTCTGATTCGCAGGCGCGAGCTCTGCGGCTGGCGACCCTCGCCGCCGCTGGACTCCCCGCGAGGGATCTCGCGGGAGGCGAAACACCGCGCCGACCGCGATGCGGCAAGCGCGTGCGAGCCCCTGTGGGGGCCCGCCGAGCAAACTCGGCTGGGGCCCGCACCCCCTCTGGCGTGGGTGGGCGGGACCCCAAAATGCACGCGGCTCCTCGGAGCCTTGAGCACACGGCAGCGGAGGAGGACAACGGGGGAAAAGAGGCTGCGAGGAGGGAAGGAACCCACTGTTCTCACGAACGATCGCGTTTCTTCCTGATCTCTCCGCCTCGGGGCCTCGGGCGGATCGTGATCACATGGGCCCGCCTCGGGCCCAGATCCCTCAGGCCGCCTCAAAACTCCTCCTCCTCCTCGCCTCTTTATCTCCTGATGATGACGAGGAGGACGGGCACTCCTTTTTCGGCACCAAGGCGCCTGCAGTCTGACTCGCAGGCGCGAACTCTGCGGCTGGCGACCCTCGCCGCCGCTGGACCCCCCTCGTGCTCTCCTAGCGGCCCGTCGCCGCTCCATCTGGTGCTTCCTGCACTAGATTTCTTCTTTGCGCGCCACGGGGCCCACCTCGAGGGCCCCCGCGCGCACTGGCGGGGGGACCTGGCCCCACACAGCCCAGCACTCCTGGCTATGCCTGGCGCCGCACTGCCAGCCTCGAAACTCCCCTGCGCTCTCAGCACAGGCCTGATCGGCCCCCGCTGCCCACGCGCTCTGAGCCTCCGGCCAACGCGACTGCACAACTTCTCAAACCATCGTGATGTCGGTGGCCGCCATGCTGCTGGCAACCCCCTCTGCCATGCCGCGCGCCTCCCACCGGTATCCCTGGAAAGCGTCGCTGTTCCACCTGCCCCAGCGCTGCACCAAAGCGGTGTCTTTGAATGCCGCGTACAGCGCCGACGCCCCTCCGATCCTCAGGCTGTGCGAGCCCAGGCCGTTCGGGTCCATGCCTCCCGCCACCGCCGACTGCATCACCACTCGCTGGACGTCTGCACGTGTCACCAGGTGCATGTCGTCGAAAGCGAACAGGGGATCGTACATCTGCGCGCCCGAGACCCTCTCATTGGCCCAACCAGCGTAGATCTCGAGCGCCTCCACCACGCAGATGTGCTCGGCTCGATCTGAGTCCTCCGTGACCTCAGTACGAAAGTGGTTGCGCCACTCACCTTTGTTGTACTGATCAGTCTTGCTGGCCCGGACCTTGATGACGACCTCGTTCGCCTCGCCCCACGCGCGAGTCGGCTCGCCGCTCGCCTTCGGGGTGACGTCAGCTCCCCGAAGACCCTTGTTGCCCATGTAGCCGTTCTGATCGTTCGAGACGTACTCGCTGGCCCTCAGGAGGAAAAAGTAGCCCGTGGCCACCGCGGCCCACAGAGCTGCGCCCTCCCCCGACCTCTCTGGCTGCAGCTTCCGCCTAATCCACCTCATCATGCGGGGAGTGACCGGCTTCTTGCGCTTGGTGCCGCCATCCTTCCTTCTGAGCCCGTCGATCGCCATCCAGAGCCTGCCAGCGCCTTCCGTGATGTCGCCCATGCCGAGCGCGAGGTGCTGGGCTCGGACCGAGCTCAGGCACTGCTTGATGGTGCCCGCCTTGCAGCCTCGGCGCGCCAAGTGGATGACGAACTCCAGCAACAGCTCCTCTTCATTCCTCCTACTCTCTGGCGTTTTCGCGAAGCGGGCTGATTCCCCTCGCGCGGCAGAAGAGAGTCCACCACCTCCAGCCAATGCTGTGCGACTTGATCGTGGAGCTGGCCAGCTTGTCGAGACTGAGCTCGAGTTTGGCCTTCTCCCAGTCCTCGCGCGTCTTGAGGTCCGTCAGAGTGAGGTCCTCCGGACGGGCGCTCGCTCGAACAGCTTCCGGTCCGAGGAGGTTGGGCGGCTTGTTCTCGCACGGGCCGCGGACCCTTTTGCTGCCTTTCTTGCTCTTATGCGAGGTGGCCCCCGCTCTGCGGTCGTGCTCCTCGCCCGCGCCCATGGCTGCCATGGCCCAGTCGAGCCACCCTTCTCTCTGTTCGGGGTAGCTCCACCTCCTCACCAGCGCCTCAAGCTCCTCCTCAGCCTGCGCCTGCTCGAGGCACCCGCTCCTGCGGTCGTCTCCTCCACTGCTGCCACGCCTGCGGCCCCCGCCTCGGTCGCGACGGCGGCCCGAGCCCTGCGTGGCCCCCCGCGCCACGGCCTCGAGGCGGGCGCGCGCCCCCTTCTCGCCAGGGCCCGCACTGCCAGAGCTCCGCCCGTCCGCCAGGTAGCGCGCGACCGCCCGCGGGTCGACCTCAACGTCCTCGCCGGGCAGCGGCGCGTAGGCCGGGCGCTCCTCCGCCTCAACCTGCCGCGACGTGCGGAGCGGCGGGGAGCTCGGCGCCGATGGCCCAGCCGATAGGGGGCGCTCAGACCCGGGCGGCCCTCGGCTGAGGCCCTCCCGGGGCGTCCCCATCCTCTGCCTTGCCTCGTTCCCCCTGGCCATCTCCGCCGCGTCGTCCTCGTCGCGCTGGATCTGGATGGCCTGGGCCCTCGGCGCCGCCATCCTGGCCTCGCTGCCTGCAGCTCTGAGTCGACAGAGCTCGCAGCATCACCATCGCCTCCCTCGCCCTCCAGGGTGACTCTGCGCCGGGGCGGGCTGCGGGAGACCGTTCTCTCCCTTGGTGACGGCATCGGCAAGGGCCCCCTGGCGCGGGCACGCGACGCGCTGGTGCCCCGCGTAGGCCGAGGGGGCACTGAGCGAGCCCTCCTTGCCGGGCTCGCTGTGCGCCTCCTCTCCTCCGACGACCTAGTCCGCTCCTGACCCTCGGGCGCGGCGGTTCCGCCGCGTCCTTCCTCAAGCACCTGCGGCCGCAAGTCCTGAGCCCGCGCTAGGGCGCGCGCTGCATGGCCCAAGACGCGGCGGCGCTCCCGGTTCGCCGCGCTCTTCCCGATGGTGCGCCGGCCCTCCACGCGGTCAGCCAGCTCCTTGTACCTGCGCCCTGCCGCCTCGGGGCCAGCCCCTCGGCCGCCCCTGCCGCTCGCCTCCCGCCTCGACGACGAAGCTGCAGCCGCCCTCGAACCCTCATCCTCAGACTTCACTTCCTCTTTCACTTCAGTTGGCAGCATCCTCGCAACGAGCTTGATGCGTGGCTCGTTCTTGCGGGCCTCTGCCTCTGCGCCCCTCTTCCTCCTCCTGAGCTCACGTGGCGAGGGAGGTGGGCACTCAGGTGACGGCTCCTCCTCTTCGACGTCATCGTGGAGCGCTGCCAGGACCCTGGCCCGGCCCTCCGCCACCGTGTCCTCCAGTGCGGATTTCTTATTTTTCTTATTTTTCTTCTTGCGGCTCCCGCCGCCTCCCTCCACCTCCGTCTCCTGGCTGCTGCTCTTCTTCGCGGCCATGAGGCGCCTTCTCGCAGCACTTGTAGTGCTTGACGCCTCCCTCGGCCCAATCCTGCTCATGGTGGCGGCCGCCGCACTTGTCGCAGCAGCGGCCCGGCCCCCCTGCGCCGTGCTCCAGGTAGGGGCACCCCGGGTTGAGGCAGGGGGCCAGATTCCTGACCAGCCTCCCCTCCTGGGCGGGGGCCTGGGCGGGCCCCACCCCTGCTGCGCCGGCCGCGCTGGCGCCGCCCGGGGTGGGGACGCCCCGGCCCTGCGGGGTCCATCCTCCCCGCCGCTCGTCGTCGGAGACGGCCCCGGCGTGCCTGTCCGGCCCGCTCGGAGGGGTCGGATCGCCAAGCTGGGCGTCGCTGGGCAACGACCTGAGCGGCGGCGGCACCACTCGGGCCGCCGTCGCTGCCGCA